GCCCAGCTGTGATTATTGGGGTGGGTCTGATTTGACACATCCAGCGCTGCTTGATTGGCACTGAGGGTTTGGGTGCAGCCTTGGTGATGATGCCAATCTTGGGGTCCCTGGGCTGCTGACAACAGCTGTGGGCAGAGTTGCTCCTGGAGAACCTCCTGTGCCTCTCCAGTGGAGAGCTTGGAGAATTGGGTGAGTTCTTTTGGCGCCCTGGTTTTCCCTTTTCAGTCCTGTTCCTTTGGATTTGTGTGCTGCCAGGTGGGAACAGAAAGCCTGGTGGCAATTCCACCCAATTCCTAGTGCGGAGGTGGCTGTTACTGGCATTGGCCACCTGAGCATCCACACAACTCCACCACTGCTGGACACCCTTGGTGCTGTGTCAGTGACAGAAACGGAGCCAGAATTAGGCCCTGAATTGTTCTGTGCAAAGTTWTCCTCAAAGAGTGTTCATAAATCTCTATTCAAACCTCCCAGCTCACAAAGCCAACCCTTGCATGCCCTGAGGTAGGTCTGGTGCACTGGAAGTGCTGCTTGGTGTGGGTCATGCATCCTGGAGAAATTTGGCATCATCTTTTATATTTTCCATCTTCTCAGTCTGGAAATGTTCCTAAGGAGCTGCTCCACGGGGTCTGGATGTCCTGGAGATGAGTTTTCCAAGAGAGAGGGAGAAGGGACAGGCCTTGCTTGGGGGAAAGGAGAAGTCTCTGCTGGGGTGAAGGCAGATGTCTGTGTGACACATTTCCTACATGTGGCACATCTCCTGAAAAGGCAGAAGGTCCAGCCAGAGGGAAGGAATCCAAAGTGCAGTCCCAGAGCCACCTCTGTCTCCTTCCAGGGGCACTCTGGACTGTTCCTGTGACAGAGATAGATGTTATCAGAGTTATCTGCTGATTCTATGGGCCTGGCAGGAGTCCCATGCTTGTTTTGCAGCCTGTTATCACATCAGGGATTACACATTTACCATACAGCAAATAAAATAAGGACCCAAAGTTGGGCTGTGGCACAGACTGAGAGCTCAGAGCGGGTGTTCTGGTTCTCTGGAGCTGCCGGGGGTTTCCTTCCTTGGTGGCACTCACCTGATTTCTGCAGGAATGGCCCCAGGGCTCAGTGTTTCCCCACGAGTTGTGGTTCTGCTCCTGTCCCTGCTGGGTCTGGCAGCTGCTGGGAGGCTCCTGGTGGTGCCGGTGGACGGGAGCCACTGGCTCAGCATGCGGGAAGTGGTGGAAATGCTCCAGCAGAAGGGACACGAGGTGGTGGTGGTGGCACCTGAAGTCACTTTGCACATCAAACCAGCGAAGAGCTTTGTGATGAAAACRTACTCGGCTCCCTACACACAGGAAGAGATGGAGAGGGATTTCAAGGCATTCTTACACACTTCATTTGAAGAAGGATCTTTTCTGGAAAGATTTATTAAAGTGTATGAAGGTATGAAAAGACTCGGTAACATGTCAGCTTCCAGTTGTCAACAACTCCTGCAAGACAAAGAGCTCATCAGGTACCTTGAGGAGAGCAAGTTCGATGCCATCCTTACAGACCCWGTAGTACCTTGTGGGCCAATCCTGGCAGAGYATCTTGGCCTTCCTTCTGTGTATTTCCTACGAGGGGTCCCGTGYGGTTTGGATTTTGAAGCCACTCAGTGTCCCAATCCTCCTTCCTATGTGCCCCGGGCATTTTCACAACTTACAGACCGCATGAGCTTCTTCCAGCGGGTGAAGAAYCTCCTCTTTGATACCCAAAACCTTTTCYTYTGYRATTTTGCCTTTGAYSCRTTCTCCAAACTGGCCTCAGAGTTCCTCCAGCGGGAGGTGACTGTGCAGGATCTCTTACGCAAGGGCTCTGTTTGGCTCCTRAGGTATGAATTTGTTTTAGACTAYCCAAGACCCTTGATGCCCAACATCATCCCAATTGGAGGAGTAAACTGTGCTCACAAGGAGCTGACTCAGGTGAGTCACACTGTTTTTAATTTATGCTTTGATGGATTTTTTTGTTCACAAGGGTGGAATTCTTTGCTGTGATATGAATTGAGTTTCTGTATTGGATAAGGTGAATACTCATGAAAGAAATTATTTTTCTCTCACTTTCTTCTTGACTTTCTCCTTCCTGTGYAGGCAGCTGTTCCTTCTGGYTTTCAAAGTTTGCTCAKTTGAAGGGAAACACCAGGGTCTTCTRGTGAGGGTCTGTGATGGGMCGTTGTTTCCACCAGCAAAKGGATTGTCAGAATTTGTGGACAGTAKGACAAARTTTTGGGTTTATRTAACGAACCATTCCAATGGGATGTCCCAGAAAAT